GCTGCAAAAACATAAAGCTGATTTTGAAAATCCGACTTTAAAAAGATTAAAGAATCTTTAAATAACTTGACTGTTATACATTAAATGCGCCATCATAACCGGTTGCAAAGTTAAAGTTGGCTTGCATTCGTTTTTTGCACGTTCCAAACTACATGTTTAAAACTTTCGCCCATAAAATTGGCTATAGGTTCTAAAGTGGGCTCTTTGCAATTTTGTTCACCAAAGCTTGTTGCAGATTTCTAGAGCTGACTCTCTACACAATTCATAGGCTTTTTGGTCCAGTTTAGTGCAGTCCAAGTTTACTTAATTTTGCAATCTTTTGAAAGTTCAACTACACACTTAAATTAACAAATTAGTCATTCAAATGTGTTTTGTAATTATCAAAATCATAGATACAACACTTTATATTTGAATTGTAATTGCAATTCCCTATATATCCCTCTTGTTCAACCAATGGAAACCTTCAAAGAAAAGGGCTTTACGGCTGGTGCAAATTGTTTTTTAGGCAAGAGGACAACAACTTTATCAAACTCTTGATTGCCTTCTGCTTACCAATTGGATACAAAAGAAGGTTTTTACTATATATAATGATTGCAGCACTCTTTTTTTGTTTAATTGTTTCCATTAATTTTGAATTGAATGAAATTGTTTCACACAACCAGATGTTAGGTGGCGATTTCGTGAATACCAGTGTCTTGTTTATTCTTTGAATTTTTTAAGAATTTAATTTAGTTCAAGGATTCCATTAAAATGCATCTTATCCAAGAATATCATATGGTCATACAAAAGAGAAATGAAGTGTTAAGTGAGAAAATGTTATATCGAGTATATAACAAAAAGTATATGGGTTAAATATAAAAAAGATTATTTTATTTATTATCGATTGATTTTAAATTATATGCAAGTCTTGTATTAAAACTCGCAAGTATACTTTTCATATAAAGAAGATACCAATTTTTGGAGATTTGCCTCTGCTTAATGAAATAGAAATATTTACATGGCAGTTAGTGGAAAGGGATTGCTGTACTATCAAGCTACTTACTCCCCTTACTATAACAAATGAGATTACTTAGTAGTTGAAAATTTTCAAAGAATAATCTTTCTATTCTCTACAGCTTCAACGTCTTATGTTTAAGTGAATTATATTGGAAAGAAGTTTAACTCTCATATTTTGAATTCTTTTTGGATACATTAAATTGATTAGTTTAGGATGTAATTATAATTTATACTTATTTGTTTTTATTTGTGGTCTATATATAATCGTTCTATTATTATTATATTGTCAGTTTATTTTTTTAAAAAATATCTTTCAAAATTTAAAGTAATTATTTTAGTATACATTGAACTAAAATTACAAAACGTCAAGTCAAGTAACTAAGGACTTGCAAGTTCTGTGAAAATTAAGTATGTGTGTTTTAACATAAGGTTTGCATCTAATTTAAAACTAATTCCTAATAAAAATACACATATACTTCTCGTCACGTGACTTGTTATGTCCTGGCTTAACAACGGGCTTCTCAAAACGAAACATGTACTCTGATAACATGTGAAAATTGGACATATGTGCTTCAACACAAGATTTGTATTCACTCTCATACCAATTGACAATATGTGAAATAAGTTAACATTTATTGTATTTAATCAATATACTTCTTCCTTATATACTTTCCAGTCAACAAGTTTACATCTTATAACTTTAAGATTGTGGAGAATTTAACTCTCATGCATGTTTTCTCTAAAACGTTTTATAGTTTATTTGTACATCGTGCCTTAATAAATGTATTATTTTTTAAGAAAAATTCAATGTTTTTTTTTATTTTTTTTAACTTTAAGTTTCACAATCGAAAACAATCTTTTTCTATAATCTTGATCATTTCTCTTTTTAATTTTAATGGTTAAGATTTATATATATAATGGTTGAGATTTATCATAATTATTTTAACTATTAAAAGAAGAAAGATGAATTATTAAAATTTTATATAAATGTAGAGTATAAAACTTATGTGTATGTGGATCCCTATTCAATATATATATGAAAAATGTTTTGCAGGTTGTACTAAATATATATATAGAGTAAAAATCTATTTACATATAAATTTTACATATCATACTTATATAAAATCTTAACTATTTATCTTTTCACTCTCAA